TTTTTTTAAAAAAAAGTTTATGATGCAGTGGGTTAGAATTTTTATGTATTATAGGAATATGCCTCACACGATCTTGACACGTATTTTATATTACGATGTAATGTGTAGATATGCATCATGCAAACAAAGAATTTCAACCCTCATTCACTTATATAAACTAAATTTTAGAATTGAAAACATATATAATTTTTTTAACTTAAAACTCATTTGAAAAATCTACATAAAATGAAAAAAAAAAAAAAGTTAACAAATTTAAAATATATTATTATAATTGCACATAAAATTTTATATAAAAAATTTTACATTGAATTTAAGAAAGTCCACTAGAAGATCCTTTAACTTAGTTCCTAGGAGCATAGACTTCATTATTTCTATTAAAATGATCAACTTCTGCAAACATAGCTTTTGAAATTACTTGTAGCAGAGCGAGCAACCGCTTAATAAGATAATTTGTTTACCTGTGGAGAAATTAATTTAATTATAAAATAAATTAAAGTTTCTGTTTTTACATAAACTAACTTTCTGTTATTTTAATATTTAGCCAAACTTTTTGACAGCAAAAGCCATCAGCCAAACAGAAACTTTATTTTCTAGAAGTAAATCATAGATTTAAAATATAAGGACTCTATTTCAACTATATATACATATATATATATATTTTAATCACATAATCTATATGGTAATCCAAAAACACAGATTCCTCATATAATGGTTGACACAGTGAGTACAGAAAGAACTGGTTTAGGTTGTTATCAACCCTGCAGAAGTACCAAAACTGACAAAATTGCAAGATGGGTAACATTTAATACAGTAAATAGAAGATAATTAAAAGATAAAATTTAAGACCTTGGTTTCTCCTTCTTCTCTTTAAAAAGAGCAAGAAGGGAGACACCAGAAACCTTCACAACCTTGAACCTGACACCAGGAATATCACCAACAGCATGACCCTTACGTCCAAATCCAGCAATCAACACCTCATCCTATAACCAAATATAGAATCCGCGTGGACTCAGTTAAAGAGCAGGAAAAATCATACGTAAAAATATAGAAGTAAATTGAAAATGCACAAAGAGTACTTACATTCTCTTCGATGAAGTTCAAGCAACCATCATTTGGCACAAATGCAGCAATCTTCTTTCCATTTTTTATTAGTTGAACTCTAGCACACTTACGGATGGCAGAGTTAGGTTGCTTAGCCTCAATACCTCTGCACATCAAACAGCCACTTGCAAAGTTAAAAAATGCCAGTAATCACATAATGAATGCCAAGTACAACAGAGTTAAAAGGCTTACATCTTCTCAAGAACAATGCCTTTAGCATGAGAAGATCCTGCAAATGGCTTCTTCCACTCATTCCCAAGGTGGGACTTTTTGTATGACTTGTCAGCCCACCTTTGTCTTCTCCGGTGGGACTTCAGCTTGCGACCAGCTCCCATACCACGTGTCTTCCTGAGAAGAATACTCATTGTTTACATATTTATCACAGAATGAAAAGTAAAACATTGAAACCGATTTGCTTTTCTGTCTTGATAAGAAGAATTTTGAATTCAAACAATATTATAATATTACAATTGACATTCTAATTACTTATAAATAAGAGTTCACCCAATTAGAATAAACAGTATCAAGGGGCACCCATGTCTGCTTGTTTTAAGACATTTTAGTATTTTCCATATACATATATATATATATATATGGAACTTGACATTCTAAAAAAAATTGCTTCGAGTCCCTTAACAGTTTTAACATTTACATATACAAACCAGAAACATGTTTGACATCAAAGTGGACTAGATGCCAGATCTACCTTCAAGCAACTGACATAATACCACAAACTTAATGTTTTCTTGTTGAAAAAATCAAATGATACAAAAATACGCTTTTACTCTTTAAATGAGAGTGCCTTCCTATCATCATTGAAGTTTAATTTCCGAGTCAATTTAGTTTCAGGGGTTTACATACACTCTCTCAAACTTAAAAACAAGCTTAGCTGATTTTTCTTCAGAATAATGTAAAGGAATAAACTAATTTTTAGTTCCATTCCCAATTGTCTCACTTCAAGAGGAATAATTTAACCTAGACTCTAGTCGAAAATTAAAAATTGCAAGAAAACAAATCAAAATATGAATCTGCTGCAAATAGCCTATAATCCAGCTAATCCTAAAACATCCATCAAGTTAGAAACAAAGAACCAAAACAAGAATAAACCTCACAAAACTGTACAGTAAGAACATACCCGTGAATGCTGAAATCACATTACCGCATGGAGCAAAAAAACGCTAATTTATCTAATAAAATTGGGGGATGTTGAAAGCCATGCCGTCAGAATTAGCGAAAAGGAGAAACCTGAAAGAGAAAACATACCCCATGGTGACTGCGAGGAGTACTTGGACTACGAGTCTGCGACTAGCCTGAGAAAGTGGAGAAAGCAGATAACAGCAGCGGCAAATTCAAAAAAGAAAGAGGAACATATACCTAACCTAGATTTTAAAAAAGATAAAATTACTGGGTCTCTTTGGGCTTAACAAAATACGTAGTTTGTTTTACGGGCTATATACACGCATATATATATATATAATATATATTATAATAATTTGGGACAACTTAAGATCTATGGTCATTTGTATATATATATTAATATATATGTTTAATTATAAGATGTTTAATAATAACAAGAATAACTCATATAATTGAATTATTACGCACTCCTAAAAGTGTTTGCCATTCTTGGCACGTATTTCTTGTCTGCATTCTTGGCACATTTCATCCATACATCTTTTCAATCACATTAAATTACGTTTACTAATGGACATGAAGATGAATCTGGCTGCGCTATCGATAACTGCCGCAGAGGAGGGAGGCTGGGACCTCTCCAAAACTATCCACGCCCATCCAGAAACATATGACTTCTATTTAGTGGGGCGTTTTCTAATAGAGGCGATAGTTAAAGTCTGAACCCATACATAATACACTAGCGGATGTATGGCAAACCCTTGGCAGTGTTAGTGTTAAGGATCTGGGGTCCGGTCGTATCTTGTTTCGTTTTTTCTACGAGGTAGACATTCAAAGAATTATAAATGGAGGCCCTTGGACTTTTAAAAGTCATCTTCTTGTTACACATAGACTCCTACCTGGAGAGGACCCCGAAGAATGTTTCCATACATAGTTGTCCTTTCTGGGTTCAGGTTCATTCTTTACTGGTCGGCTATATCTTGGAACACATGACAGAATAGTTTGTAACGTCCTTGGGGGCTTTATAGATAATGATACCAAGACATCAAACTTTCCTCCTCAGGGTGTCATGCGAATTTGCATTGTAATAGATGTCACCAAACCTTTATTTCAACGGAAGAAATTGCAACTGCAGAATGGAACAACTTTATATGCATTGTTCAGGTATGAGAGGCTGTTGGTTTTTTGTTACCTGTGCGATTGGTTGGGTCACTTCGAATGTTTTTGCAAACTACTTCGACAACATGGTCCGTGTTGAAGAATGATTCAAAATTTGACTCTGTCTTTGTTTAGATTTGTTTCCACTATTCAAGCTAGACGCAAATAATAAATAGTTCGAGATATATGTTGGATAAGTTCTGATGTAATCCTATATAAAAGGCACCTCTACGTAGTCTTTATGTATTCAATTTTTTTTTTCAGTAAGTTATATAACAACTAAGCATCAGAACTTTATTTTTCTCTTCTTCTTTTTTTGTTTTGTCTCTTTCACGTTACTTTTCCTCAACAAATTTGGTATAAGAGTTTTATTGGTCTTTAGGTGAGCAAGTGTATCAGAGTTCTATAAGAATGGCAGCAGCTAGGTTTTCTTCTTCTCAACCACTCCTACTCATTTTCAATGGTGAGAAATACGAGTAGTTGAGTATCAAAACTAAGATGTTGCTCAAATTGCAAGAGCTATGGGATCTGGTGGAATATGGTTTTATTGAAATATTTGAACCCAATGAAGAAGAAGATATGAGACTGAAAGAAACCAGAAAGAGAGATGCCAAAGCATTGTTTATCCTATAACAAGCAGTCCATGAGACTATATTCTCACGAATTGCAGCAGCAACTACGTCAAAAGAAGCATGGTTAATTTTGCAGAAGGAATTTCAAGGTGATTCAAAGGTCATTATGGTAAGATTGCAGTCACTAAGACGTGACTTTGAAACCTTGATGATGAAAAATGGTGAACTGATTGCTGACTTCTTGTCACGAACAATGGCAATAGTCGGTCAAATGCGATCCTACGGCGAGTAGATTTCGAACGAAAAGATTGTTGCGAAAGTTTTGAGAAGCTTGACGCCAAAATTTGACCATGTGGTATCAGCTATAGAAGAAGCTAAGGATTTATCTGTTCTTTCTGTTGATGAACTGATGGGATCTCTTCAAGGTCATGAGGCAAGAATCAATAGACCAGTAGAAAAAAACGAATCAAAGGCATTCCAAGTGAAAGAGACAGCCACTAAACAAGAAGAAAATGATAGTTCATCAAGTAAAGGTCGAGGAAGAGGAGGATCTCACGGTGGTCGATGTAACACCCAAAAATTTTCCTTTATTATTTTGTTATTTATTTTTATTTTATTTCAATTTTTATTGGAATTTTTGTTTAATTTTATTCTATTTTAATTTTTAATTTATAAAGTTTTAATCTAATTTAATTTAATTTAAAAAAAATAACAATAATAATAATAATAAAATATGGTAAAATTATTTTTTGGATTTAATTGAAATTAATTTTGGAAAAAAAGAGTGAAAATTTGGATTCTGGTGGTGTTTTTGAAAAGAAAATCGAAAACTAGAGGTTAAAACGTAATTTAAAAAAATAGTACCACGTTAGCAGCTACGGCAGCAGCCCGGTCAACAACTCCAGCCAACTAGGACACGCCGTGTGGCAGGGACGCTGACGTGGGAAGCCACGCGGGACGGAGACACGTTGGCGATTCGCGTGAGTGCGATCGGATAGCCCAGATCCGTTCCCGCGCGCACGGACGACCCAGATCAAAGGCGCGCGTGGACGGCCCAGATCTCACATGTGCGGACGGTGCAGATTTGATCACGCACTGACGGCCTAGATCGCATCGCGATGGACGACCCAGATTTATTTTTAATTTAATCGCGATCGGATGGCCCAGATTAAATCATGGTTGAAGGCTCAGATTAAAAGGGGAGGGTTATAAATAATCGCATCCACACCCAACACCAAACCCTAGCCGCCAGAACCCTCGCCGGAGAAGACAACCCAGCCATCGGAGGAACCGGCCACCGCCACCCGCCGTCGCACCGGAGGACTTTTCGGCCGTCAAACGAGGTAAAATTTCTCTTCTTGACTCATTTTTCGATGCTGAACCTCCCTGTGGCCAAATCGGAGCCAAACCACCATTCGATTGGCCGGAAAACACCGCTGAAGTCCAGCGGCGATGCAGCGGATTTTCTCAGTTTTTGCCTCCAATGAGACCCTTCTCGTTTTTCGTTCGATGTAATTTTTATACCACTGTGACCACCGTCATTTTCTCTACAAGTTGACTGGAGCAAAACACCGAATCGCAACTCGCGCCGAAGTAGCTGCCGTACCCGAGAGTTTCGCTACCGGTAAGTCTCGGTTTTCTAGAATGTTTTGGCCCACTGAGGGCCCTATGGGTGTTTTATCACAGGAACCAATGCAAGTTTAACCGAATTCGGCTGAAAACGGCCAATCCGAGGTGGATCGCCGCCGTGGGCGGTGGTGCCGTCGCTGGAGCACAGCGGAGCCGCCGTGCTGGAATTTCGATATTGGCCGAAAGGGCCCTGGGTCTAATTTGAGATTTTTTGGGCACATGTGCAGATACCGGAAGTGTGTTTCAGTTTCCGGGTAAAAATTCAGGGAATCTAGGGACTGCCCGTAGGCACAGTGAGAACCCAATTTCAGACTTCGAAACAAGTAAGGATCTCTCACTCTATTTCCTATCATGGCATTAAAACCTAATAAATGATAAAACGATATTTTATGAATTAATAGATATGTATAATTTATTAAAATTGTTAATGGAGCCCGAATATGATATATTTTCGGTCAGGTGTTGTTTGATTTATTTTATAGTTTTTGAATGTAATATGGTGCCTGATGTGTTTATTATATGGTTTCATATGCATGAATCACGGTTTCATTTATTATACTTTAAATTATTGTGAATCCGATGTTGTGTTGCCTTGTTTGGTGTCCATTATTGATTTATGTGTTTGTATTTGATTGGATAATTGAGATTAAGAAAAATGGTAAAAAAATATGTGAATTAATAATGGATAAATTCGACAGCCTCACTAGATATCTTGGGAGATGGTGGACGGACCGGGTCCATAGAGAACCCTACTGGGAACGTGGTCTCTCATATTGAACGGGGTATGGAGACTTTATGTGGTTTGGCGCCCATACCGGACGGGGTATTAAGGTTTATGGTTTTGGCGTCTATACCGGACGGGGTATGGGGACGGTCCTGGAATTAAGTTATTAATGTGAGTGGTTCACGTGTAGCGGGGACCCCCTATGGATTCCCATGGATACTAGTAGGCTGAATAAATGGGGATAATTGTTGCCTGATAATTGAAATACAAAAGTATGATATGTGTTATGTTGAAAAGTGTGCGTGATCTTATGATATTTATGATTTAATTGTTTTCATAAATTGTTTTCATGAATCTCACCGAGGTAGGTGGACAGTAAAGGGTTTTATTATTGATAATTGAGTTTGTATAAATTATACTCCATTGGTCGTTTTCGTTTTCTACCAACCTTTACTTCTGTGACAGTGAGATAGTGTGATGTCTTTACTGGGTTAGTGTAGTTCATTCCTTACTTAACCATTTCAGATCAGGAGAACTTGGTTCCCGAGCCCGTTCTGCAGGAAGACGGCGAGTAGAAGCCAAAGAATTTATTAATTTTCCTTACAGCATTTATTTATAGTATTTCCTTTAAGTTAGTTTATTCTTTCATACTTTAATTCGTTTTGGTTATTATGTAAGGGATGTTAATCATAATCTATTTTATTTCGCTTCCGCACTTAAAATAAATATATATACATTTTCTTTTAATTTCTAGAGCCGTTATAGTCGAGGTCGAGGTCGAGGTGACAGCCATGGCAGAGGCAGAGGAAGGAATGATGGGCAAAGGCAGTCCAATGAGCAAGGTAACACGAAAAATGGCATTCAGTGTTATCATTGCAAAAGATATGGACATATCAAAGCAGATTATTGGTACAGATATCAGAAAATGAACTTCGCAGTAGAAACTGAAGAAGAGAACAAGCTTTTTATGGCCTGTATTGATACTGACCATAGATAAAGTAATTTCTGGTTTATGGATAGTGGCTGTTCGAACTATATGATAGGCACTAAATCTCTATTTCAGGAGCTAGACAAGACACAAAAGATAAAAGTGCAGCTTGGCAACAAAAGGGATATGCAAGTTGAAGGAAAAGGCACGGTGGGAGTTAACACTAGCTATCGACAGGTAAAAATGCTGGGAAATCTTCAATTTGTTCCTGATTTAGGATCTGATAT